AGCCTCTCAGCAGAGACTGCGGCCTAAACGCAGCGCCTTAGACCGCTCGGCCATCCTGACTGAGAAATCTGTCAAATAGTGGAAATTATAAAAAATATCATGCTGTCACAGATGACTGTTGTTGTTCATCACACTTTTGAAGTGAATTCTTGAGCCTGAACGCAGTACCTCAGACCGCTTTGCAATCGTGACCTAAAAATACTGAAAGTAGCTAAAATGATGAAAAACATCTTGCTATCATTTATTAAATATGCCTCTAAATAACACATGGAATATTATGTTTCAACTCTTTAACACAAAAACCATTGCGGTATTACAATTCAGAGAGCAAAATGTTACATATGCCTCAGCCAACGAACAACACCAGTGACTGTCAGAAGTGGGATTTGAACCCACGCCTCCAGTGGAGACTGCGGCCTAAACGCAGCGCCTTAGACAGCTCGGCCATCCTGACTGAGAAATATGTCAAATAGTGGAAATTATAAAAAATATCATGCTGTCACAGATGACATTGGTTGTTCATCACACTTTTGAAGTGAATTCTTGAACCTGAACGCAGTACCTCAGACCGCTTTGCAATCGTGACCTAAAAATACTGAAAGTAGCTAAAATGATGAAAAACATCTTGCTATCATTTATTAAATATGCCTCTAAATAACACATGGAATATTATGTTTCAACTCTTTAACACAAAAACCGTTGCGGGTCAGTGCTGTAGTGGTAAAATTAGAGGTGGGTAAACTCTGAATTTTGTGATCATACAGACCTCGACGCGATGAGGAGCAACGCAACACAAAGCGTTGCGACTCTGTAAGGCTGTCCTGGCTATATTGCATTATGTGATCAGTAAAATATTGATAATAAACTGATATACAATCAATGACAATGAATGAATGGGTTAGTAGTTTATAGTTAATTAAATCTAAGAAAACAGTGAAGAAAAGTATGTCAACACAACAAGACAATTGCAGATTAAGAACTATCTACATACGGAGTCTCCTTTTTACAGTAGTGCCCAGAGGGCCTCCTTGTCCTCCACGTCAGGTCCTGCCTTGCACAGAGGAGCCATGAACCCCAGAACACGCGTTCTGGGGTTCATGCTCCCCTGTGGCTCTCTCTCCTATTCGACCTGGTGTTTCTCTCCCTGTGCTCTCTGCATCATTGCCTGTCCTCTCACTGCCTGAACAAATATGTTGAATTTAAGAGTTAACCAGTTAAGCAGCCTGTCAATTACTCTGACAACATAAGTTAAAGGAACACTCATGTACTACCTATGTCATCATAAATAGCCTATACAGCATGTTTTTTTTCACAACCAGCGAACACAGCGCGCGACTACTACCCCCCCCCCCCCGTTCCGCCCGCAACGATTACTTCACCCCCTCCCGTCGGACCTTCTCGACCGGTCCGCGAAATATTGTCTGACACGAAACCGGTCCGTGAGGTAAAAAGGTTGGGCACCACTGGGCTGAGCCACAACGTGCTCCTGGATCCTGATTGGTGTCGCTGCTGCAGCCGCAAGGCACTGATTGGATGCTCACAGACCGTAATACAGCGCAGATGAAAATGATTCAGACTACGGCGTTTAGATGTTCAACAATAGGAAACGTAGTCTTAGCTGTTTTAAAATTACACCAAGTTTATTTCGGATTATTCCAACGGGAAGAATACAAGGCGCAGGGAAGTTTGAGGTGCGTAAACGCCACTTTGAGGTGCGTAAACGCTATTTCCAAAATTCTAGAGGTGTGTAAACGGCGTTTACCCTCCACTACAGCCCTGGTTGCGGTATTTCAATTCAGAGAGCAATATGTTACTTATGCTTCAGCCAACGAACAACACCAGTGACTGTCAGAAGTGGGATTTGAACCCACGCCTTGAGGGGAGACTGCGACCTTAAAGCAGCGCCTTAGACCACTCAGCCATCCTGACTGTAAAATACCTAAAACATTGAAAATATGACAAATAGCAGGATAACCTACATTTCATATATCATTGAATTGCACATCCTTTTTTACAAAAGAGCGAGAAATATCAGGTCTGATACCTGCAGCGTCCTCCCTTGTGGCACATACACATTCACGTAAGTGGACTTCACTGGTACTGGTGGCTCATCCAGTTCTAACCATGGTGCTCACGTACCGTGCTGTGAATGGATGGGGTCCAGCTTACATCCAGGACCTGGTCCAACCCGACATCCCGACCCGCACTCTCTGCTTCCTTCCACACAGTGAGGATCTGCTCACAGAATCTAAGACATGTCAAAGACTGCAGCACCATCCGAACTGTCAATCCAAAGAGGATCCATCACTGTAAGACCTCATAGAGACACATTTGACTTCCTGCCTGTCCTTTCTTCAAAGCAGAGGACTAAAAAACACTTGCTGGTCTTTGCCTCACTTTCAGTCTGGATTCTGGATCGGATCATACCGACCAGGACATCCTGCCACCACAGAGCAGATACTGAAGCACCATATTAACTAGGGGTGATCGATTAATCGATTTATATTCCTGCGATCCAACTGAATCGATCTGTGCTCCACAAATCAGCATTCCGGACGACATATATCGATTACAAATCGATTGTATCGATACTTGGAAACTCCACATTGGATTTAAGTACAAAAACAGTATGGATGTGTGTTTGTTTGTTTGTTTTTTAGCACTTTAGACGCGTTAAACGTTACTGGATTCAGTCTGCCTGTCTGTGACGTCATCAGTACGCAGCGGCCGCCGCGTGAAACTCTGAACAACAACAAAACACAGCGTGGAAGAGACGACTGCGAGCGAGACATTTACAAACCAACTTATCGATCCAGTGGAAACATTTTGCCTTTTGCAAACACGGAGGTGTTCTAAATAAGTTGCTCGCTGTTTGTAGAATATGTAGAAGCCAAATAAAAAACTACGGAAACACGACGAATCTTTCCGGCCATCTACTAAGGCGCCGCGGGATTAAACAACGCCGACAGTCAGGACCTCTAGCAGCGTCACCGCTGCAGCAGCAGCAGGTAACTGCAGCTCTGCAGACGCCTCAGGCCTCGCCAGCACCAAACTCATCACAGTAACAAGTTTATCTGTAAAGACATGCGACCCTACGATGTGGTTGAACATCCGGAGTTCTGTGAATTGATCCAAACATTGTGTAATTATTGTGTCATGTTTACATTGAAAATGGCACTTGATTCAAAGGTTAATACATTTGCCATTAATTGTAGTTTGCTTGTTTATAATATCCATAATTAATTTAAACCTGATTTCCTTACAAGAAACAACAGGGATCTCGGAAACTTTGCCTGCACTGTCCAGTAAAGTTACTGAATCGATTTCAAGTCACTGAATCAAATCAAATCGAATCGTTCTAAATGAACCCAGATCGTCCATGAATCAAATCAGCAACCATGAATTGTGATTTGAATCGAATCGAATCGTTGTTAAAATGAATTGTTACACCCGTAATATTAACTGTTCATCAGTGGACACCTCACTGCTGGACCACAGAGACACGTGTTCTCCTGCCACTGTCGACGGTTCTTCACCACAGTTAAGAAGATATTGTCTTCTTATTTCATGTGATTCCTAATGTTTTGTTTTAATTCTATTTATTGTATTGAGTTTGTATACGTGTAATAGTTTTATTAACACTAATTGTACATCTTATATAACATTGTAATTCATATAGACTTCTTTCTTCAGGTCTTCCTCCTCTGTGATGTTTCCACTTCCCAGTGAAGACACACTGACTGCCGAGAGGGCGAAACACACAAAAGAAGCTGAACGTCGGCAGCGTATTCAGTTGCACTGGACGGAACATTTGGAGATCACAGATACAGAATCACACCCGTCCCTGCTGCTCTGCACCGGCCACCTGCAAGCTTTAGAATTGATTTTAAGATTCTACTGCTTGTTTTTAAGGCTCTGAACAACCTCTCCTGCCGACGCCAGTGAGCTCTGAGACCTTCAGGCAGGACTTTACCAGCTGGCTTATTTATATGTTTGACGGATTTTATCTTATTTATTATGAACTGCTTGATTGTATTTTGTATAACTTGTGTGCGTATTGTTAAGCACTAACTTTGTTTTGAAAGTATAAATAAAAGTAGTTATTATTTCCTCAGGCCATGCAGGACCCCTCAAAGTGTGTGGTTGTGGAGATTGGAATTGGACCTGCATCATGGGTCAAACGCTGAAATCCAAAGAAGTACTAGCAGAAGTACCACCGTTTGAAACCTTTATTTGCCACAATTTCAGTTCATGGAAAGTCGTCACAGATAAAAGCAAATGACAAATTCAGCTAATAACCTCGAAGAACTCCGCACCACCTGCTAAGAAGCACCAAGACATTAATGAAAGGTCAATGTTTTACATCATCTACTACAGCTAAATAAAAGTTATCCTCCAAGTGATGCAGCCAGCAAAAAGCAACACATATGAATGTCTAATGTTGAGTAAATAATCAGTATTAAAACCAACACACATGATGAGATAATAACCTCTTTAGTGTCATTTCAACACAACAGGTGGTTACATATTGGAAAATCCCTACATGTGAATTGTATATAGAAAGAACAGCTGATAGCAAAGCATGAAAAGGTTTTGGTAATACAAAAACATATTAGAATCAAAGTTCATTAACAAGCTATACAGAATATCTGGACCCTTTGTAGAGTAAAACTATAACAAAACCTATAGTTGAGAGTTTTACGTTATAAAAATAGTAATTCCCCACACACACATTCAGTAGGAATCTGATGTGGACCTCGCACAAGTCTATTCATTTGTTTGTGTACCGATGTCAATGAACTCGGACTCTTCTGGATCAAACCCGGGTGTTTTTGCTTAAAAATGTGTTTTCTAATCCAGCTCAGTATGTAGGAAGAGAAAAGATATACAGGTGAAGAGAGTTGTGAGACACACTGGTCCCGGGTCAGTACACACATTTAGTATTAATATATATGATCGGCTGCAATCTGCCGTCCCTGCAGGACTTGTTCGCTTCCAGGACCCTGAAGCGAGCTAAAAAGATGGTGGCCGACCCCTCCCACCCCGGACAAAACCTGTTTGTGCCCCTTCCATCTGGCAGGAGGCTGAGGTCCATCAGGACTACGACCTCCCGCCACACCAACAGTTTCTTCCCGTCGGCAGTCGGGCTCATCAACAGAGCCGGTCCCACTGACTGACTATAACATCCCACCGGTCACTCCCCCTCATACTGCACATGCCACTTTAACTGTAATTCATCACTTTGTCGTCACTCGTCACTTTGTTACTTTATGCTTAAGATTTCTTTTTTAACTTTTTTAATATTTAAAATGTTTAACTTTATTCCCTTGTTTTATACTAACCCATAGCCTTATTCTACTAACCCATTGCATTAGCATTTCATTTTACTTTATTTTATTACTTGTGCACTGCTGTCTTGTCTATTGTCACATTGTCTACTGTCACGCACCAACCGCCAAGACAAATTCCTTTTGGTAATAAACGTTTCCTGATGCTCCTGTTTTCTTTTAGTTTAGTGGTTGCAGACGGTTCTAAACTCTGCTGAGACGCTTCGATTGACGCGTCACCTCGGGGCCTTTTCTCTTGTGCGCTGAGCGAGGGCTCTTTTCTTTGGACACTTTAGCGATGCGGCGTCTGGATCTGGACTGCGGCGTCATCGTCACGGAAGGAAGTGACCTGCCTCTTAAAACCCTCTCCCCGATCACGATAGGTGGCTCCTCTTCCTCGGACGTATTCAGCTCGTATTCCTCGCCTTCCTTGCTTGCGCCTGCTGCCTCTGTACCTGAGGGACATTGGGCTGCCTCGTTGCCGTGGTCCCCATCTGATGCGACTGTAACCTCCTCCTCCTCGTCAGTGCCTTCCTCATGTCGCTCCCCCTCTTCGTTTTCCCGGTAATTCACTTTCGGCCTTTTGCGTACAGATCTCCGTTGGGCGTCGTCTTTCTGTCTCCTGGATCTTGGTGATTGGGTGACAGGCGACGCTTTCTGTTGTTGCCGTGGTTCCGCGGCTGTGGTTTCCTCGTCTTCGGCCGAGGTCTTTTTGACCTTGGCTGATGGAGGTGGGACATTAAAACCGCCAGTCACAGCTTCCACACTGCGGTCGTCCTCCTCCAGCACTCCGGCTTCCCCCGTCGAGGCGTCCTTCGTCTCCACATCTTGGTCTTTCACCGTTTCCTCAGGGGATTCCTGCCCAGCCTCTACTTCCTCTCCCAAAGTCTCCTCTCCTCCTCCCCCTTCCTCCTGCTGACACTGTGTGCGGGTCCTTTTGGCGTTCCGTCCCGGGGGGGCAGCAGCAGACCTTCTTCCCTTCCTTGTCGTGGCTCTCGCTGCCTCATCAGGAGCCTTTGCCTCGTCTGTCTTAGGGGTCTCTTCAGCTCTCTCCCCAAAGGAAGCCTCTGCTTGTCCCTCTGCAGCAGACGGTTTCTCCTCCACGGTCTCTTGTTCTGTGAGTGATTCTGCGTTTCCTCCCTCCTCATTACCATCCTCTCCTTCAATCTTCTCGCCTGTGCATTCCTCTTTTCTGTCACTTTCCTCGAGCAGCGCTTTGGTTTCCTTATCGAGTAGAGCGCTTCCATCGTCTTCCTCTCGCTCCCCCCGACACGGTGTGCGAGCTCCGTCAGCTGGCTTCCTTCCCTTCCTCAGAACTCCAACGTCTGCTGCTGGTTCACCTTCTCCTGCCCTTTTCTCCCCTTGCTCATCAGCGTGTTTCGTGGTGGTTTTACCTTTTGCGGTCTTTCTTCCACTTCTCAGAACTCTTTCAACAACCGGCGCTTCCTCCTCGGATGCATCTTCTACCTGCTCGTCCTTTGCTGTCAACATCTGCTGTGCACGTTCTACCACTTCACACGTGGAGGTTGACTGTTCTTCTTGCACTCCGTCTCGCTCTGCGACGGCTTCCTCTGCAACAAGCGAGGTCTTTTCCTCTTCATCGATAGGTCCCTCCCCCTGATCATCGTGTGGGTTGACAGCTTCCTCTGCCTCTATATGTTTGTCTCCTTCACTTGGATCCCTTCCGTCGCGTCTCTCTCCTTCCTCCTGATTAGTCACTGGTTCTCCCTCCTCCTTCTCAGTTGTCCTTATACCCACAGGGACATTCACCTGTTCCACCGGATCTTTGTCCTCCATGGGTTTTTCCCTCGGTTCCCCTTCAGCCTTGGCAGCATCCTTTTGTACAAGAAGACTCTCCTCTTCAGCTTGTGTTACATCCTGGGCGCCGTGGTTGGGTTTCTGCAGGTCCACTAAAACCACTGTCAGCTTTCGGAGGGAAGGAAGCTGGTTTTCCGTTTCCTCTGCTGACGGTGTGGCCCCGTCTTTGCCTGCTGGAAGTACAGCCGAGTGCGTGGCCGCTGACGGTGAGGGTTTGGTGGTCTCTTCTGGTGCCGCTATGACTGTAGCTGTGTTCTCCTTCTCTTCTCCTTTGTCCACATCCTCATTCTCCACCTCTACGATATCCTCCTCTGGGGCTTTCACCTCGTCCCCTTCTGCTGGGGCATCTGATCCAGGCCCCGTTTCATCTCCCACGGCTTGTTGCTTATGTTCTGCCTCAGCTTCCACATGTTTTTCTAGGTGTAAACCCTCCTCTTCGTCAGAAGCAACTCCAGTAAGCGTATGTCCTACCTCCTCCATCTCTTCATCAGGCTCCTCTGCTGCCTCTTCTTCCACTCCTCCCGTAGCCTCGACACATTTAGATCCCTGGATTTGCTTCCTGGTCCGTTCGGATCTCCCTTTAGCTGTGTGCGTTGCAGCAGCGCCCCCCCGTCTCAGTGTTCTTGTCGTCGCTGCTGGTTCTTCTTCACCGTTTTGGGATTCTTCTTCATCCCACTGCTTTCCGCCTCTTGCCGATTTGCGTCTCGCTGTGGCTGTGCTGGTTTTTCTTGTGTGTCTCACAGCTCTTTTCCCAACAAGTGGTGCCTCTTCCTCCTCCAATTGCCCTGCCTCCTCTACCTCAGCTGGTGGAAGGTTCCCTTCAGCAGCATCTTCTACTGGAATGTCTGCCTCTCCATGTGTACCCATCTCAGAAACAGGGCGTTCCTCCGTGTTCCCCTTTGCCTTTTCAATGGTACCTTCGTGCACAGTAGGTTCCTCAGTGGCTAGCGCTTCACCGGTTCTTCTTTGCTCCACCTGGGGGGGTTCCTCCATCTGTTCTATGGAGGTTTCTTCTTCTTCTGGTGCTTCTCTCTCAGCTGCAGCGGGCTCCCTCTCAGATTCTTCAGGGCTGTGTCGGGGATGTTTCAGGGTGTTCCTGATGGTTCTTCCCCTCAAAGCTAATCCTACATCCTCTTGCTTGCTGTGCCGAGTAGATCTATGTGTGGGGGTCGTCACCGTCCTTACGTTGGCTCTTCCACTTTTTACACTTACAATCTTCTCTGACGTTGTTGCACGTGTTGATAGACTCGCCTCTTGTGGTGATACTCTCAACCCAACTTGACTTTTTTCTTCAGAGCCTGCCAGCGCGGCGGTGATTTCCTGCTGACACTCCCTGATTTCTGACGCCACATTCTCAACTGCTATGTGTGAGTCACAGGAGCTGCTGTTCAGGTTCTGCGGAGCGTCGTCTTCCACTGGTGGCTCCTCGGTCGCAGGTGCTAATGTAGCACCAGCTTCTTCTAGGTCTCGTTGGGCTTCACGAGCCACGCTGGACGTACCCTAAAGATAAACAGAGGTAATCATGAACAAACTGCTGTACTGATCTGCAAACATGTCAATGGGAATTTGCTGCATATACACACGTCGGGCTTCACCGATCCAGAGACGTGCAGTTCTGTCTTCTCTTGTGCAGAAGCTTGGTCCTTGCTGGGGGTTTCTGCTTCAATATCCTCAATTCTAAAACAAGGAGATACCACGCTAGTTTCATCAATTATAGAGTGTGAGGACAATCTACACCCATTGACTTTGGGGCACATAATACTGGACTTATTTGATGGCCGCTGTGGCGGTCCAATGCATTGTGCTGCAAACACGTGATATACAGCACACAGTCCCTTGGTTTCCTGCCCTCCTGTGCTTGTGATTGTCTGCCGTGTCCTCCTGTGTCCAATCACCTGCCCCTCCCCTGTCTATTAACAGCAGGTGTGTCCAATCACCTGCCCCTCCCCTGTCTATTAACAGCAGGTGTGTCCAATCACCTGCCCCTCCCCTGTCCATTAACAGCAGGTGTGTCCAATCACCTGCCCCTCCCCTGTCTATTAACAGCAGGTGTGTCCAATCACCTGCCCCTCCCCTGTCCATTAACAGCAGGTGTGTCCAATCACCTGCCCCTCCCCTGTCTATTAACAGCAGGTGTGTCCCGTTCATTGTCTCCTATTAAAGAGTTTTGGTTTGTTTTGTATTTAGCTTGTAGGCGTTTGGATTTAGTTAAATAAAGTCTTTGGAGTTCTCCTGGACCAGCTCAGTACGATGCCAACAGATGGTGGCGGGTTGATGTGGGCGCTTGGGCCTGTGTGGCTTCCCTGTCATCACATCGTTGAGCTAATTAGAGTGACATCATGAATAACCATCTCCTGGGTCTGTAGTCACCTCCAGCCAGTCTGTCTACAATTGAGACCTCAGCATGAATGTACAGGTACATTAGAGCGATGTTGGATTTGGTTTTCTCACAATAATCAAGGAGAATGGAACCGTACAAGTATCCAAAAAGACCCAACAATATCCATTCCTGGTAACATGGTTTGATTCGTACAGACCTGATGACTTTTTCTGTCTTGTCTTCTCCAATCTTTTCTTGCATCTTCCTTCGTTTGGAGCCACTACTCCCACCGCGGGCTGCGGGGGGCACTTCTGCCTCTGGAGGGGTTTCAAACATGAACATGCAATCTAAAGACCCTTTTACACCGAGATAGAAAACGGAAAAGAACGCAGCCGCGGCCCAAATCAAGGCGGCTCACAGCTAATGTCCGTGTAGCCCCGTGTGCCCACGTTGAGAGGGGAATTACATTCCCTCCTTGAACAAACAGCAGGACCAAGTTTAAACTGTGGATGAAACATGATGCTCACCTGTGGTGGCGCTCAGTACCGTCACTTCCTCCTACGGATCAAAATGACCGGTGTTTTTAGAGGCTTTTTTTCTCAAATACATCATCTGCAAATTATAAGCATAAGAAAGTACCACGATGTCCCCGGTGCCTCCTGCAGGACGGGCTTCTCTGTGAGTGGTGACCACGAGTGATTCGTCAGTCTGAGTGAAGATCAGACCCCTGGACACCGCTGAGGAACACACATAGTAGACAAGTAGGAAAAACTCATTATTGACAACATTTCCACTTCAAGATGACTCTGGCAGCAATGTCAGATCTCGTGAAATCTTGAAGGGATTCCAATGTTCTGGCTCCGCAAATCAGATGGTGTTCCTTCTTCCTACTCTGGTCCATGGCCCGGAGCTTCTTGGAGATGTTGGTCCTCTGCGTGGGACCGCCCACGCTCTCCACCTCCCACAGAAGGTGTGTGTCCCCCGGGTACTGACACAGGTATTTCTCACACACTGGGGAGCAGAGGGGAGTGCGTATTAATGCTATGAATACCAGCACACACGGCTGACTGTGACCGACTGCACAGACCGCTGCATGGGGCGGAGGGGCTGCGCCACTATGCCCACAGTCACAGTTATTTTGATCAATGTGACCTTGTCACAGAGCATCTTGTAGAAGACATTTCTTACCCCAAATTAAACCCACGAGCACCGCCTTCACTTCCCAGCTACGTACAGCTGAACCCCACACAGGACTCCGAATAGTACTCAGGTACAGTCGTGTTTATTGGACACGTGTTATTTGGGCGTGCCTCCTGCTATGCAGGACGGCGGTTCTGGTTTTCTGGGTGGACGTCATTGAACTTTGACGGACATTCGGTGAGGAGGCGTTCGCTTTGGCTTTGATGCATTCGTTGTGCTGTGGTTGTGTTGTTATGTGACACAACACTCGCTCCGCTCTACTCGTCTACCTGGAGTCCACTGCGGACAGAACGCTCTCTCCTCCCACCTTGGCTGACTGTTCGTTGAGGAAGCGCTTGATTTGATACGTGGCAGAGCACGCATTTTAACGACGGTCGTGCTCATCTAATTGTGGCAGCCCAAATCGTGATTGCGATTCAAATGGGACTAACTGTGCAGCCCCACTAGGGTGCACCTGCTGCAGGGCGGACCGGCGTACCTCTGTACATGGATTTGGTGAGGGGGAACCTCAACCCCAGACACTCCTCTCTGAAACTTAGCACAAAGTCCTCGAGCATCTGGAGGCCAAAGCCTTGACGACGCAGATGTTTTCTAATGAAGATGGAGTCCATCACAGGAAGCTGGTAGCTGCTGCTTGGAAAGGATCTACAGAAGCTGCCTACAACAGAAACAAAGAGCTTCATCGTGAGGACATTTTCTGAAAGCCACTGACCAACACGTGGACTAAAGCACATTCATTACCTGCAGGTTTGACTGAGTAAAAGCCCACAGCCTCCCCATCATCCCAGAGGATCTTTGCGTAATCTGTGTCCCCGTGGCAGAGGAAGGGCAGCTCCTCACAGCTCATCTCCTTGGCTCGGTAGATGACACGGTTGAGGATGTATAACACTATTCTCTCTCCTAGAGACTCCACCTGGGGAACGAGTAGAATAACGTATGTCACCACATTTTGGTGTATGGAGCACAAAATATATAAATAACAGGGCGCCATCCTGAGCTAACAGGGGCCAAGCAAAATATAAATGCATCCATCTTCAAAGCCGTGGTGCAGGGCACGGATGGGTGACCAGCCGATGGCAGCGCCGACAGACAGACAGACAGACAGCGCTCACACTACAGTCTCAGAATTCATTTATGAGACTCGGATTTTGAAGGATTAAAAAACAAACAAACAGGAAAAACGTTCTTTAAAGTATTACAGAGTTTATTGTATTACAGAAATATCCATAATAACTAACCAATAACCACTATGACATGATTATGAACAAACAATCAACAGTATGCTTGGTTGTGCGTATGGTCACAACATCCTCTTTTAGAAGCTCTGAGTGTGGAGCGGTGGCCTCCACCCGTTGCCATGGGGACCTGAGACAGCTCACATTGAAACCAGGGCCAGCAAACACCCCCCTCGTACCTCCACAGTTCCGCCCCGCGTGGGATCTGCCGTCTTCAGAATGTCATCCACCGTCCACCAGCGGTCCAGCAGGAACAGGGCCACGGCGGTGAACGGGTTGCTGGGAGAGAAGAGGGCCAGGACCGTCAGCCTGTCGCTGGATCCATAGAGAGGGGTGAAGCCCACACTGGAAATGTTAATGGTGACCTGAGGACAGACAGACAGACACGGGCGTCAACACACCAGTTGACATCGCCATAAATGTTGGTGCTTAGTTTTATAACCACATTTTCCCACCATTGCAAGGATTTGGATCAGACTCCCCTACTAGTACACCACAATTTATTAGCTTGCTTACATTATGTGTTACCCGGAATCTGCAAAGAAACTACTAACGACATCTATTGGATAAATGTAGTGGTGGAGAACGATAAAGAGGCTTACCGTGTAAATGGCACTTTACAAAAAGGTCATTTTACTGATGAAGAAGACGAGCGGTGCGCTGGATACGGTGGAGACAGGACGGTGGTGGCTGGGGGAGGGCAGATGTACAGCAGGTGGGTCTTACCTGGGTGGAGTCAGAGAGGACGAGGTGTTCAGGGGAGTCGGGGTTGCTGTAGAGGAGGTCCTCCATGTAGTTGTGGGCCAAACGTTCCAGCTCGGCCTGGCTAACGCCAGCCAGGAGGTCCACGGGGAACTTCATTCCTACAGTGAGAGGCAGCGGTGACGGAGGACGTCCAACAACCACAAGTTATTAAACACGTCTTCAACCATCAAACCAGCAGTCAATTTCAAATCAATTGGAAAAAAACACTAAATTACACTAAATCCAGCAGCAAGGGGAGAACGTTTTAAGTACAAATTTGGCTCCAATATCGTCAAGATTTGGCTTCTGTTTTTCCGTAGTTTTCTTAAGGTCAGTCCTCACAACAAAGCAGCACTAGAGGACGTTTTTGTTATTGCCGGGGGAGAGGGACACGTTGGTTCTTGGTGACCCATTTAGTGTAGAATTAGGGAGGATGTCTGGGTGTTCCAGGGGTTCACAAGCGCTTGCCTGCTACCAGCAGACCCCAGTATGAAGTAAATGCTCAGGCAGAGGGTTGGACAGCGGACTATGAAGGTCTGGTCTGCCTGACTCGTTGATTCTTTATCTCACTCTCAGGTTTGAGCAAATTCAATAGTACCAACCGTGGCTCTGGATTTCCGTGGTCTAACAGTGTGTGTGAACTGTGCTGTCCGTGGTGCTGAAGAAGTAGGGCAGATGGACTTCTTCTCAGAGCCTCCAAACAATAAAGTGGACTATTGACTTCAGTTTCGAAGCAGGACAGACTTGCAACCTGATCCAATCCACCTGCCACAACAATTCCCAGTTAATCCTCTGTGAGCTCTTGTGAGCCTAACGATCGGTGAAAGACTGCGCCCAGTGGTCCTGACCCCAGTCATCACCAAGCGCCTCGAAAGGATGACACTATCGCACATCAAGAACGTCCCCCCAGTTGACCTGGACAGCCATCAGTTTGCGTACTGAGCAAACAGATCTGCGTCTCCATCACGCTTCATATGGCCTCGTCTCACCTAGAGCCCCCCAACGCATACGTCAGCATACTTCATTTATTGGCTTCAGCTCGGCCTTCAATACCATCACCCCCCATGGACTCAACACGATGGCCTTTCTACGTCACTCTGGATTCTGGACTTTCTTTCAGAATGTGAGGACAGGGAACCACCTCCCTGAACACTGGTGCACCGCAGGGCTCTGTGCTGGGCCCGGCCCTCTTCACCCTCTTCACCGGAAATGCTCGCCCACCTACTCCTCCAAAACAATAGTGAAGTTTGCCGACTACACCACTACTCATCTCCAACAACAAGGACACCGTTTGAACCCTAATGACCTCATGAGAAACATCCCGAATCAGCTGCCGGCCCTGATTGTTGCTTTTAATGCAAATCACTCATTTCACAGAACTGATTCCATAGAGCATCCAGCGCACACTAGCATTCGTTATGTGTCCTCCCTGTCTTGTGTTCCGCTCTGACGCAAACACTGTCAATGAGCATCAGCAGCCGAGCAGAAAGTCCAGTCTGTGTGTGTGTGTGTGTGTGTGTGTGTGTGTGTGTGTGTGTGTGTGTGTGTGTGTGTGTGTGTGTGTGTGTGAAAGCTGCCTGCATGTGCGCATGAATGGGTTTGGTGTGGTGAAAGCAGCTCCAGAGACCCCTGAGGCCCGCGAGTCGAGACTAGCACCAGATCCACCATCATCTCCTCTCTGCTGCCTCAAAGACACGTCAAAGCCCGCGACCAACTACCGAGAGGAAACTGTCAATCTCACAAATGTACACTGCGTTCCGGATTTTAATGGGCGCGTGTGTGTGTGTGTGTGTGTGTGCGCGCGCGTGGTTTCAGCAGTTGCCAACAGACACTAACACGCAAACTCACCACGAAGCTTTGGTTCGTCCTTCCCGTGCGCGCGTTACAGTGGAAAACATTACGCCAACTTGGGGGGCAGAACACGCGAAGCCCCCCAACACAAAACACCGCGCCACCACTTTTAGACTGAAATTTCTATAAGTCTCGCGATATAACTTAAAGGACACGCTCGGGCCGTAGGACATTTTGTCCCCGATGCTGAGTCCCCAGCGGACGCGCGTCCACACTTTAGTACCTGAGTCCACTCCAGCAGATGCGCGCCGTCCTGCGTTCTTCTCTCCGAATTCCAAAGTGTTCAGGGAACCAGACCGGGAAGGCGCGCGCACCGAACCGAACCGAGCCGAGCCGAGCCGACACGAACCGCGGAGAAGTCACCTGTACGCTGTCACGGGAAGCGTTTTCCTACTTTAAAACTCCCACTGTTGAATTTAAATTGCGTAAGCAGCGCCGGCTGCGTTGTGTCGCTGGGGCACGAGGCTCAGTGCGCATGCGCGCTCGTGCAACCGCTTTATGTAACTGATCCGACGTAACCCGTTAATCCTAAACCCGCCCCACGGCCCCCCGCGGGGGGGACACCTTCACCGCCGCCTTTACAAACCACGTGCACAAACTATTGTAAAAGTCAACGTCCATTGGCTGTCTGCACATGTAAAGACACGTAAAACGTACATGAGTTCAATATCTTATATACTGTCTTAAGTGGGTAAATCAAGAATTGAAGTATTTACATTAGGATTTCTCTTTTTTGATTTTCAATTAAATTCTATTTCACCAGTAAAAGTACAAAACTCCACAGGACAACAGAGGACATAAATGAGTGCTTGAGCAGATGTTGTAAACTAGACAGGTGCCAGTCAGCACGTCATGCACCCTGAGGTGCTCGATGCTCATTCAGGTTAAGTGTCCAGATCTCGTCTCCTACAAACGTCAACTAGTGGCCTTACCGGCCAGGAGGGCGCCGCGCTGATTGGTCACTCTGTGTTGGAGGGGCGGGACTTCGCAGAGGGGTCAAAAAGGTTGTCTCTGGAATTTCAATGCGATATTCATTACAAAATGTGTGTTCGCCTTTAGTGGCTCAACTGTGTCAAACCATCACACACATCTTTCAGACTGGCACCAAATGACTTCATCTCATGTGCTTCCCTGTTGTGTATCACTTTTGACTGGTAACACAACTGTGTCACTGATTGGCTTCTCCGATGTCATTTGTGAAGCTAACGTGCATGTAATGCGAGTTCTTTTGGTCCCAGCAGGTGGCGCTGTCCACTCATCCTGCAGCAGCAGAACACCACCCACTTCTCCACACATAACAACCACAGATGAATGGGACGGTTTGTCTCTGTTCGTGCATACGCAGAGACACAACCACGTCTGGTAGAAAGATGTCATCAATTATATTATATGTTCTAAAAGACGGACAAACAAAACATTACTAGAGACACTTAATAGGTAACTACTGCAGTCTGAACAGAACTCTATTCAAGTCCCGAAGTACTGAGACAGAGACAGAGACCGTACTGAGACAGTACTGAGACAGAGACAGTACAGAGACAGTACTTAGACAGAGACCGTACTTAGACAGAGACCGTACTGAGACAGAGACCGTACAGAGACAGAGACAGTACAGAGACAGAGACAGTACAGAGACAGTACAGAGACAGTACTTAGACAGAGACCGTACAGAGACAGAGACAGTACTGAGACAGAGACAGTACAGAGACAGTACTGAGACAGAGACAGTACTTAGACAGAGACCGTACTTAGACAGAGACCGTACAGAGACAGAGACCGTACAGAGACAGAGACAGTACAGAGACAGAGACTGTACTGAGACTGTACAGAGACAGTACTTAGACAGAGACCGTACAGAGACAGAGACAGTACTGAGACAGAGACAGTACAGAGACTGTACTTAGACTGAGACCGTACAGAGACAGAGACAGTACAGAGACAGAGACTGTACTGAGACAGTACAGAGACAGTACTTAGACAGAGACTGTACCGAGACAGAGACAGTATTGAGACAGAGACAGTACAGAGACAGAGACAGTCCTGAGACAGAGACAGTCCTGAGACAGAGACAGTACTTAGACTGAGACAGTACTGAGACAGAGACAGTACTGAGACAGTACTTAGACAGAGACAGTACTGAGACAGAGACTGGGACAGAGACAGTACTGAGACAGAGACAGTACTGAGACAGAGACAGTACTTAGACTGAGACAGTACTGAGACAGAGACAGTACTGAGACAGTACTTAGACAGAGACAGTACTGAGACAGTACTGAGACAGAGACCGTACTTAGACAGAGACCGTACTGAGACAGTACTGAGACAGTACTTAGACAGAGACAGTACTGAGACAGAGACAGTACTGAGACAGAGACAGTACTGAGACAGTACTGAGACAGAGACAGAGACAGTACTGAGACAGTACAGAGACAGAGACAGTACTGAGACAGTACTGAGACAGAGACAGTACTGAGACAGTACAGAGACAGTAC